GCTTGGCTCAGAGCGAGCTGCTCGACTTCGTCTGAGCCACTCGTCGTTATGCATGGCTCAGCGCGTGAGTCTGCGGGTTCCACCCCATGGCAAACCCTAGCGTCTCGCGTTGCTTCCTTTCTGCTTCGGGATTCAACTTCATCTCGCATCGCCTGCTTCGTCTCGGTGGTCTGCTTCCATTCGCGTTGTCTGTTGTGTTTCCTATCTACGCCTCGTCTGCGACAGAGCCACTCGATCTGTGTCTGTGACAGACCGCTCGTTGTCTGCTAGGCTCAGAGAGTCTGCGAGCCGCTCGACTTCGTCTGAGCCCCTCGTCGTTCTGCATGGCTCAATGCGCGAGTCTGCGGCAGAGCCGCTCATTTCAGCCTTTGGCGTAGGCGTCTGCGACAGATCCTGCAGCTTTTCTTCTTGCTGCAGTTTGGCACTAGCTGCAGTAATAGCCTTAGGGCTTTCTTACGCCACCGCCCTCACCGGTGATAACCCTGCCAAACTCTCCTATGCTACAGTGGTTCACAAACGCAACTCTCCTTTTGACCTCACAGATAGTACGGTATTCCCGCAGAGTTACCATAATTCTGTTGCAGGAAATGATGATTGCAATCTCATAAAGAAAGGAAAGAATAGAAAAAGGCCGGCAAACAAACAATTTTCTTCTCTTACGCTGAAATTTCAACTCGTGCAGAAAAATACAAATTTACACTAGTTGAAAAGTTTCAATTAGGTTGTCCAAAGATGGAGATCATCAGGAAGGTTTTTGAAGATTTCAAACTAGTTGGGGATTGGCGGTGGGTCATTTCGATGGACACAACGGAGCACAGAAGATGATTATACGAGGATTTTCTCAAAGAAATTCATCACAATTGAGGGAAAACATATGAAATTGCTCAAATGAACCCCTAATTATGATCCCATTCAAGAACTCCCAATTGCACCTCTCTAGTTCTTATTACCTGAACTCAAGTTTTATTTCTTTGACCTGTCTATCTTATATGCAATTGAGACTATCCTTGGAAAACCTTTACAGGTAGACTTACCTACAGTTCATTTCTCAAGGCTCTCTATTCCGAGGATTTTGATTGAACGGGATATTACACTACCAGATGTAAAATCGTCTGACTTGGATCTGCTCACAATGGTTATTGATAAAAAATCATTATAGAATAAAAATCATACTACTGCACATGCTACTGCAAGCACAACAAGATGTTTGGACACCCGCAGGAGAAATGTTTCAGAGAATTGTTTCAAATTGCACCCACAGTTGAGAACCAATAGTCAAAAGTAGGAACACACTGTTAGCGCACCCTATGTGCCTGAACGCACTCTCAACAGACTTCATGACAGCCAACCTGAGGAGGGAAACACCACAAGACAGGAGTTAGTGTCTGCCCCTGGGATCCCTTCTCCTGACCATACTACAATGGATAAAGTTCGAACTGAAAATCAGAATAGTCCCGCAGCTCCTATTCAGGAAGCATCAGATGTAGATGTAACAATTCACACTTCACATACACTAGAACCTATCGCGGTGACATGTTGACCTCATTTTTAGTGAGGTCTAGTCTTTCTCTTAGGATTTAGGATCTAGCCTTAGGGATCTCCCTTCGACTATCTTAGAATCTTAGAAATGGGACCCGCCTCATTTAAGTTCGACCTACTTCTGTCCTCTCTTGTGGTTTCACGCATGTGGTGTCAACTTCTAGCACCTAGAAGGGTGAAACCAGCATGAGGAAACCCAAAAGGAATTCTTATAGGACTCTAAGTCTTAGGAAATATCGTCATGATCTTTTCGTCACACACACACACCAAGTGCACAAAATTCACTGAGTTGCGCGAAATCGGACTTCAATTAAGCCCAGAGGAGGGGTCAAAATGCGAACTTTTTCGGACGACCTCCGACGACTAATTGGGTCGCGTCAACGCGTCCGGGATACCAATTTTGGTAGGAAAGGACACCCATATTGCCATATTTTCGATACGAAAAAATTGACACGCAAATCGATGAATTCATCCAAGCGACCCCGGACGACAAAACAGACTGAACCGACACGT